AGCAAGCGCGTGTATGTGTACCTATGGACGCGCGCGCGTGTGTTGTGTAGGGGGAACGGTAGTGTAGTGCTTAGCGTGCTGTCTGTGTCTGTGTGTGTGTCTGTGTGTGTCTGTGTGTGTGCGTGTGTGGTGTGTGGGGAGCGGTAGTGTAGTGCTTAGCGTGCTGTCTGTGTGTCTGTGTGTGTGTGTGTCTGTCTGTGTCTGTCTGTGTGTGTCTGCGTGTGTCTGTGTGTGTGTCTGTGCGTGTGTGGTGTGTGAGGAGCGGTGGGTGTAGTGCTTAACGCTACGCTGCGCTACCAACCCGGCTAACCGAGTTCGATTCCCGCTCACGGCCACCACCGGTGACGATTATTTGAACCTCCCCTAGGTCGACTCAGCCTCAAACGAGTAACTGGTGTGGCGTATTAACATCGGCACTTGGGAGACAAAGGCGGCCGGGCGTGGTAGATCCAAGTCCCGGGCGAAGCCGGGTCATGTGTATGTGTTTATGTGTATGTCTGTGTGTCTGTATGCATGTGTGTATGTATGTGTGTGTATGTGTTTGTGTGTATGTCTGTGTGTGTATGTATGTGGGTTTCTTTGTATGTGTTTATGTCTATGTCTGTGTGTCTGTATGTGTGTATGTACGTGTGTGTATGTGTTTGTGTGTATGTATGTGTGTGTGTATGTATGTGTGTATGTGTTTCTGTGTATGTATGTGTGTGTATGTATGTGTGTTATGTGTGTCTCTGTGTGTCTGCATGTATGTCTGTGTGTATTGTGTATGTGTTTGTGTGTATGTATGTGTGTGTTTGTGTGTATGTGTATGTCTGTGTGTATGTATGTGTGTGTATGTGTGTGTATGTGTTTGTGTGTATGTGTGTGTATGTATGTGTTTGTATGTGTTTGTGTGTTTACGCTCGCATTACACAAATGTGTTGCAGGTCTAAGGCGTTCCTCGCGCAGCATTGCCGCTTTATTATTGCAGTCGTTTACTGCCGTGCGCACCCTGAAAGTCGTGTGTGTCTGCAGCAAGCGCGTGTATGTGTACCTATGGACGCGCGCGCGTGTGTTGTGTAGGGGGAACGGTAGTGTAGTGCTTAGCGTGCTGTCTGTGTCTGTGTGTGTGTCTGTGTGTGTCTGTGTGTGTGCGTGTGTGGTGTGTGGGGAGCGGTAGTGTAGTGCTTAGCGTGCTGTCTGTGTGTCTGTGTGTGTGTGTGTCTGTCTGTGTCTGTCTGTGTGTGTCTGCGTGTGTCTGTGTGTGTGTCTGTGCGTGTGTGGTGTGTGAGGAGCGGTGGGTGTAGTGCTTAACGCTACGCTGCGCTACCAACCCGGCTAACCGAGTTCGATTCCCGCTCACGGCCACCACCGGTGACGATTATTTGAACCTCCCCTAGGTCGACTCTGCCTCAAACGAGTAACTGCTGTAGCGTATTAACATCGCCACTGGGGAGACAAAGGCGGCCGGCCGTGGTAGATACAAGTCCCGGGCGAAGCCGGGTAGTACAGCTAGTCTATTTATATGCGAGCGCGCGCCGTGTATGTGCCAGTGTGTGTGTGTGACCATGGGGAGCAGTAGTGTAGCGGTTAGCGCGCTGCGCTATGAACCTGGCGACCCGGGTTCGATTCCCGCTCACGGCACAACACCAGTGACGATTATCTGAACCGGTCCTGGGCCTCCCCTAGGTCGACTCAGCCTTAAATTAGTACCTGGTGCGGTGTGTAAACATCGCCACTGGGGAGACAAAGGCGGTCGGGCGTGGTGCTGGCCACCCACCTCCTCGTGTACCGTTCCGGCCTTCATAGGTGCTCGCTAACAGCACTTGCCCCTACAGTCTATTAAGGCTATACGGGGATCTTTATCTTTGTGTGACCATGGGAGCGGTAGTGTAGTGGTTAGCGCTACGCTGCGCTACGAACCTGGCGAGCCGGGTGCGATTCCAGCTCACGGCCAACACCACCAGTGACGATTATCTGAACAGGTCCTGGGCCTCCTCTAGGTCGACTCAGCATCAAACGAGTACCTGCTACGATGCGTAAAACATTGCCACTAGGGAGACAAAGGTGGTCGGGCGTGGTGCTGGCAACCAACCCCCACGTGTGCCGTGCCGACTTTCATAGGTGCTCGCTAACAGCACTTGCACCAACAGTGTGTTATAGGCTATACGGGGGGGGATCTTTGTCTTGTGTCCGAGTGCTTGTCTACAGAATAATATCAACACGTATGGGATACCATGACCGCACCGTGTCACATTGTAAGGGTGAAAAGGGCGGGTTCAAATCTGTGCTTTTAATATTAAACAAGCACTGGAGCATGGATGCGACCGGCATAGCAATGCGCCAGCGAAAGCCCCTGGATTCAGACATCATTTATGCATACTTTAAAGAGGCTCTGTATAGAATGCAGCGCACAGGGCCAGCTGCTGCTGCTGCTGGCTCTTGTGAACCAGACGTTGGTGTAGCAGTGCAGAAGATGCTAATTATATATCTATAACTAAATTACAACGCCGGGCGATGTGTGCCGCTCGTTACAAATACTGCAATTATACAATTAACACCTGATTTAATATTAGCGTCTGCGCTTTGACAACCCTAACCGTATCAAATCAATTGCCAGTAGACTCTGTAAATACAATTCCATTGCGCTAGGAAATTATGTTTTACTGGGTATTTAACAAAAATAAATGTTTTATTACTGTTTGTCATCTCAACCACAACACACGTTACCGGATATAAATAGTCCAGTCGATGGTTAGCACAGCAGTAGAGGTGGGGGCAATTGTGCAGTGGTTAGCATGCTATGCTTTAAAATTACTGTAGTAATTTTGCTGTGGCTGTTCCACCTGATGACGGAAGCTTGTGTTGCCTCCGAAACGTCGTGATTTAATTGAGTTATTTTCATGTTAATATTTTTTTTTATTATTATTTTTATTTTTCATCTACGTGACTTTACCGAAAGAACCTAAGAGTATGGATCCTTGCAGTCACGAAAACTTCAAATCTAGAATGAACCGTCAACCTCAGTTCCAATCCATAGTCGTGAATAGTGATGAGTGATACCTGAACTGGTTCTGCCCCCTCCCCACCCCCGTCCCAAAACCGCATTGACCAGTTTGGTGAAGTATGGCCAGAGACAACCGCCATGACCATCACAACAAGGGGTAGGCCTCCATCCAGCAGTGGAGGAGAACGGCATGCGCGATAGACTAAGACGGATGTTAAAGATGCTGTTGCGTCATTCGCAAGAGGGGAGTTATCCAAATTTTTTTTAAAAATCTGCATTTTTAAGTACGATCAGCAGCTGACTTACAAAATCAATTACACACCAAAAATAACTGCCCTATTTAATTAGTCATTATAGTTCAAGGATATTCTCCTTCAAAAAAAGATGACTCATCAAGGGATTCTCAGCTGATTAAATAAAGGATATTGCCCACACAAATATATTTACATAAATACGTTCATAATAAACGTTCATTTGTACGCTAAAATGTTACTGCATTCGTGTTAATATTCAGGCCAAAATGAAAACACTATTTTTACTCCAGAAAAAAAGCGGTATGAAGATAATAATGTCCGAATGTTATTGGCCTTCTTCGAATAATAAAAAAGGTAATGTGTTTTATTGTTTTTATTAAAACCGATACACATACATTTAATATATTGCATATAATTTCTGGTGGGTGATACGTTGACACATCTCCTTACATCGCCTTGCGTTGAGGACCCTTTTCATTGCTGAAAATCCCCTGTAGAGTCAGTTTTTTTCTCTCTGCAAATTAAAATAGAAAAACGAACAATAAAAAACCAATGAGCGTGACAATTGTAGCTAAGAAACGAGCCTAGTTGAAATGTTTAATCCGATATTTAACAAAAAAATAGACACATATTTGTGCGATACTATTGCATATCCTGATGTAAACAACATTTCGCCTAATGAGTTGTGCCAACAAAACAAAACTGGATGGGAAGATATCAAACGAAGCATCCTTTACAGCCCGGCAGATGTATTCCAGCATGTTTAATTACGTGGCAGAGATGCGCGTCCCAAAGCAATCAAAACACGACACCTTAGCACACATCCCTCCTCCATGCATTGTCCACTCATTGTTTAAAGAGCACTGGGGGAGGGAGGGAGGGAGGGAGGAGAGGGGCCAAGTTGCATCCAGAGCCTTTGATTAGCGTCACACGGAACCCGCACAGGAACTGGACAGGTGCAGCTCAGTGGAACAATAAGTCGATTGGGTCGAATAGGCTCCAAAAGATTAAATCGGGTCTGTCCTAAACCGGCTTAAGCCGTGCTCGTGCACTGCACCTGCGAGCTTGGCAAGACTGCACAAGTGCTGTGCCTTGCTTGATTAGGCTGCTTTTTGTGTTTGGTTTGTTGTCCTTCCCCCCCCACCAACTCCCCCGTACCTCCGGATGAGCACGGTTGGCTACGTACGGTGCGAAAGAAGTTCAACATGCGGTACATACAGGGTTGCGTTCGGTACTTCATTATCACTGGCACATCCAAAGCCTTGCCGAGGCTGTGGCAAGCCATTCCTGTGAGCCAGTTTTTTTTTAATTGTAATATCCACTGCGAGAAGCCGAGCTGTGTCGCTTGGGTCACATGCAATGGACGAGCCGAGTCGCATGAGCGAAGCGAGGGGAAGCGTTTCCATCGTTGCGCGTATCTGCGTTGGACTTCTTTCACGCCGTACACAGCCAACACAAAAAGGCTGTTCCAAAGAAATGCGTTTTAAAAAAAATCTAGATTGAAAATTGCACAGCTCCAGTGGCTTCCTAATATCGGAAGGAAGAGCGTTCCAGACGGCCGCAGAAGCGCGTCTGAAAGCGCGCGACGCGGTGGTCGTCTTTGTTCCATGGTTAGCCAAAAGCTGCCACTGCGGGGATGATCGGCGTTCGCGCGACATTCTATGCTCCTTGACGAGATCGGCGATGTATTAGTGGTACATTGGTGTCTTTGATTTCGTTTTAAGCATCACTGTTGCTGCCCTTCTCCTTGACTTGTTGTCTCACTCCTTTCGAGTACATGATTCTGGCCACGATCCTGGCGAACTGCATCGTGCTGGCGCTGGAGCAGCACCTTCCCAACAACGACCGCACACCCATGTCCAAAAAGCTGGTACGTATCCAAGCGCACGAAAGCAACGCGCTCGATCCGTCGCCTCCAAATGCTAGCGCGTTACTCTGTGGGGACTCGAGACGTACCCACCTACTGGCAGACCGGACCCATTTGCAGGCCAGCGATGTGCACACCTCGTGCCATGCAAGGGACAGTTCGCCAATGAGGTCCCCGTGTCCGGAATTCTGCAGGACAGCGGAGCAGAAGAGGTGAAATGTGACGCAAGGCAGTTTGAAATGCTTGCAATACAAATCCTTAAAATGGTTAACACAGGGGTCTCACAAAAAACTAGCAACTTCACAATTCTCATACAAGCATTATGTTTGGCATAGGCCTGATACGTATGTATTTGTAGCCAACTCGGGCGTGCTGTTTAGAGTGCTCGAGTAACCAATTGGGGGTTTGTGAGTTCAGATCCTGGTCTCGGGCTGACTTGGCCTACCCATCCCTCTGTGGTTAATAAAATTCCATTCCACTTTGTGAGAAGTTAAAAGTCAACAACAGTTGTCTTATGAAGAAAATGGGAATGCTACATTTTCACCTCTGGCTTATGGCTGCCCACAGAATCAAATGCCATCTCCTTGTTCTTTTAGCGTGGAGATACTTTAACTGTACGCTTTGCCCAAGTGACCGCGTGGCTCAGAGATCAGAGCACTGAGCTGACACGACTGAGACACTGGGTCCAATCCAGGAAGCCACCCATGATTAAACTGAGTTATCACATTTCGTGAGTTTATAGTTCATAACCAAGTCACCGACAACTGCACGCAAAAAAACCGCAACATTATAAACGGGTCCTTTACTAAATGTGGATAAACAGCTCTGAGAATTTCAAAACATTTGGTTTGATTTCAATGCGACGAACATCTCTACGGCAGAGCGCGGTGGCACGCTGATGCTGCTGCTCCCCGCTGTGGATAAGAAGTCACAAGGGAGGCTCTAAGAAGTAGTTCTGTGATAGAAACGTCCACAGGCCATTCTCGAACAAGGGGTGATGCATTGCTCCATAAGAATTCCAAACGGACACTTTGTCTGGTGGCACAAATGGAGTAAGAATGGGAAAACAAATACCGCATTAAACAGTAGATACATGCAGGCTATATACACAGTAAATGTATGCATGTAAATAGATGTATGCATGACAATTGTCGCAGCTATTTTTTGGTCAGTATTCTTTTGTATCTCTCTCTGTGGCTTGGCCTTTCCATCAACTTCCTCGTGATAAGTAACAAACACACCAATGCTTTTAACAACCTCGTTATAGTCAGGAAACTGAATAGCAGAGTTATATATTAAGAGTCTCAAATTTACTCCAGAAGCCAGAGCAGAATTGGGTATCACCAGGGGGTGGCCAACATTTCGTGATTCCAGTTTGTGTGTAAGGCATATATTGGCTACCTAATAAAAGTGAATAACGTGATCAAATAAATGTATTAATTAAAAAGTTGTCGCATAATTCGGTTGTATTTGGGACATTTCAATACGTTGGCAAATTCGAGTGTAGGCCATATCAGGTGGCCTCAGCAACATTATTGGTCTGAGCCCACGAGCTATAATCTGTGATACAATATTTTGGCTCGTGGCTTCACTTTGAGAGGGGAGGGAAAGACCCCATCTCGGATGTTTAACAATCACCCCACATAGGCATGTGCTGGGTGAAATGTATTCAATGCTGATGCTGGACGTATTTCCTGATACAACAGTGCTTGATGCTCACCAGTCTGCTTTTCGTGGAAATATGTTACAACATTTGGATGGGCTTCTAGCGGAGAAGTCTTTGTTTGAACTCAAGACTCTTTATTTCAGTTGGCAAGGCACAATAAGCTAAGCAGCTTCGTATACAATGATGACCACAGGCCAAGAACGTTGGCAAGGGTTGCCTCTGTGGTGAGATGTGAACTCTCTCGTCTTGGTATCCAGGAGGTTCGTAGGTTCGAACTCGACCCTGACGCCTGTATATTTGAAGTTTGCATGTTCTCTTCGTGGTCACATACATTTTTCTCCGGTTCCTCCAGTTTTTCACTCCACATTTAGAAAACACGCCTTTAGAGTATTTGGCTTCTCTAAATGTCCATGTGATAATCCATTTCGTTGAGTTATCATTTGTGGCCAGGATTCTCCTAAAAAAGAGCAGTATAGCTCAGTGAGGCCCTGTTTTGTAAAATAAAATAAAAACCTGTTAGTTGCCGGACATTGCAGGAAGAGTTGTGTAAACACTTTCTTTTCCAGAAACCACTTTCTGCATATTCCAACTCACCTGAATAAGGAAAACAAGAGAATTGTATTGCTTTTTTTCACACAGGATCGTTACACAATCACCACGATGTGCGTACAAATGAAAAAATACGCCTAATAATATCTTTACGTGCTATGAAGAAGGGACATTGCCCGAAACGTCGTCTGTGACGTGTATATCAGTGCTGAACTGGAAAAAAGAAGAACATTTATTTTCTTGGAATGTTTGCTGCACGTTCTATTCATGTCCTATCACACACACACACACACATCATATAACGTATCATATATACCATTAAAGGAATGCATTGATAAAAGTGACGAGCACAACTATGCATGTAAATGAAACAAAACATCTAGCACATACATCATTAGCACTGTTTTATAATAGAAAATAAAAACACGGTTTAATGATGTGCTGTTCGCTCATTAATGTTATTTTTATTCCTGCGTGCCGCTTGCTGATTTGGTTGCTTTTTGAAGTCACCAACAAGCCTTGTTCGCGGTGTCCTGTTACGGGTCACTGCTGGAACGGGGCGGCCAAGGCGCAGCCCCTGCAATTGCTCGCTAACGACACTGCTTTAGAGCACCCCTCTCGAGAGAGGCCGTTTGGCCTACTCTTCCAGGCTGGCCAGATTTATTTGAAGATGCAGGGGTGCCCCACACTTTATCCCGATCATACGCGGCCTGCCAATCAATCCCCGGGTGATCGAGATTTTTTGCCGGTATAGCTACCCAGGCCTTGGCATGCGTTACGATTGCTCATACGACATCATACGCATAAGACGATCACAGTCGTTAGATATATTTAAGTACGTCTTGAAAATTATAGATTTGAAGCTTTCGTGACTGCAAGGATTCATATTGTTAGGTTTTTTCGGTAAAGTCACGTAGGTAAAAAATTAAAATTAATAAAAGTAAAATAAAAAAAAATCACGACGTTTCGGAGGCAACACAAGCTTCCGTCTTCAGGTGGAACCGTCACAGCACGACAGCTATCGTTTTACCTACGTGACTTTATCGAAAAAACCTAAGAATACGTCTTGAAAAGTCACCGATTTAAATTGTCATTCATCCCCGAGTCCTGGCCATTTACCCCGGCTCTATTTATTTCCTGTTTTCCACACACGGGGCACATTGGGATCTGTGGATGAAATGCGGCGTACAAATGTAAATTATTGTTACTAATTACCAGCGGGTGTACTCATTTATAGGACGAGGGAGCTCTAGGGGATCTTTGCTCCCCCCCCCCCCCCCCAATGGGCTAGACACATTCACCTGCAGCAGACCTGGCCCTGATACCTGGGAGTGGAAAGTGCCTTGGTGATGCCTGCTCACGTTGATCACACCACGGAGCTTTAACGTCAGTCCGAGGAAGTGCCGGTGAAACTGAATGGGCAACAGATCACGTCCATTGCACACGTATTTTTTTGTTTGTTTGTTTATAAATGTAATTCCCGATTAGTGCATTTGTACGCAACGCGTTTTATTCTGCTGTCCGCGCCGAAGGCAGCGTGGGCAAATGAGTGTGCAATGCGCCGCACGGAGATTGCTATTTGGTACAATGGGAATGATTTATGGCGACCCACGCGTTCCGACAGGGCGCTGTGAAACAGACTTGCGGTGATGTCAGAAACAAATGCAACCATTAAACAGCCAGTACAGGATGTGAAAGTGAAAATATTAATTAACGAAGAGGCATGTTATTAAGCCCACTGTGTGTTTGTGCGTTCACGTGTGACCGAATGTTTGCATGTCCGCCTTTTCATGGATTTGGTACACATATTCGTGTTGTCTTTATGTGTGTTAATGCATTTTGTGTGTTGAGTGGTGCAGTGGATCATGTTCGTGCGTATCCACTTGTGTGTTTGTGCGTATAGCGCCTGTTTACATTTTTTGCACGTTATATTTATACATATATATTCCAGTTGTGTGATTGCCCTCATGGTATCATGACACTAAGACTCCATTTGGAAATCGCACAGATAATGTCTGGTGGAAGAGAGTTACACAGCATGGGACGCATTTTCCAAAGAGCCCTATCATTTAGAATGTTTGCCTTATGACATTCAAACCAAATGTGTGTATTCCTCGGAGCTTAAATTTCGCTAAATCAAGTGCAAAACCAAATTTAATATGATAGATTGTTAAGAAAAAAATTGTGCAATCATTGGAGGCTGAGCTAAGACCATCATTTCACTGCACTTGATAATCTGATTTAGCCACAGGCTTATGAAATTCGGATTCAAACCCAGGTTCTCAATGGGCTTCCTCTCCACACTCGGGGCACACCATTTACATTTCCTTTGAAGGAAGTTTACTGCTTGTTAATCAAACTATTTTTTGTTTGTATTTTCTCAAAGCTGGAATCAGACAAACTAATTGAAAAATAAACCAAACAAACAAACCTAATGTCATGGTACATCATGGGACCTACTTTGCCAGGACCAAAATATGAGAATAGGTTTTCCCCTTTTTCTGGCAACAAAACAGGTGTTAATATGTTAAAACACCAAACTGAACGCCTTTTGGCGTCCTCTGGTCTAACACCTTTTGAGACTAGGCTCCAAAGAAAGCTGTCTCTGGTGTGGAACAAAATCAGCTTAAAAGACAATGCATATATTATCAGAGTATGTTTTTTGTTTGCATTCTGACCACGAGTTTTCGTGGTTAATGCAGACATGATTCCTTGTAAAAGGTTTCAGTTTGGTGTTTTAACATCTTAACACCTGTTTTGTTGCCAGAAAAAGGGGAAAACCTCTTCTCATAATGTCATGGTGTTTCTTGTATTTACTGATGGCTGTGCTGAGACCATCTACTCGCCACACTTGAGAATCCGGTTTCAATACGGGTGGCTTGAGTTTAGATTTGAATCCAGCTTCTCAGCGGTGCCTACTCAGCCCTCTGACCTCTAAGCGACCAAGCCTTCCCAAGCTACTCGGATGTCTACACGTGTGTATGTGCGCTTGCGTGCGTGGAGAACGGGGAGCGGTAGTGTCGTGGTTGGCGCACTGCGCTACGAACCTGGCAACACGGGATCGATTCCCGCTCACGGCCACCACCAATGAGGATTTTTTTTACCGATCCTGGGCCTCCACTAGGTTGACTCAGCCTCAAATAAGTATCTGGAGTGATGTGTAAACATCGCCACTGGGGAAACAAAGACGACCTTGCCTTATGCTGTCCACCCCCCCCCCCTCCGTGTGCCATGCTGGCCTTAATAGGTGCTCGCTAACAGCACTTACCTCAACAGTCTGTTAAAGCTATGCTGGGAATGATAATTGGTTTTTACCCTTCTATCTGGCAACAAAAACTGACACCTTTTTACAAGGAGTCATGTTTGCATAGACCGCAATACCTGCAGTCATAATACAAACAAAAGACATAACTCTGATAATGTGCACTGTCCTTGAAGTTGATTGGTCCACACCCGAGACAGCTTTCCTTAGAGCCTAGTCTCACATGGTGTTGGACCAGATGACGCCAAAATACTGGGAATGTTTGTCTTTTTTTCATTTTTCACAGGACGAAACGGAACCATACTTCATTGCCATCTTCTGCTTCGAAGCCGGCATTAAGATCATCGCTCTGGGCTTCGTGTTCCACAAAGGCTCGTACCTCCACAACGGCTGGAACATCATGGACTTCGTGGTGGTGGTCACGGGGTAAGAGTGCACACGTAAGATGAACGTGGGTTGTCGAGACACACCGCAGTGCGGGCGGGCATATCAAGTGGCTTTCTTATTTTGCTTCTACCCAGTGCGGTTTATACTTTCTCACTTGCTCCACTCGTCGCGCACCTCCTTGCACTCATTACACGCAGAGTTCTTGCCACAATTGAACCACAATACCTTGCTGATCTCGTCAAGGGAGCATAAACCATCACGCAAACTCCGGGCATCTTCACAGCGTCTATTGGCTTGCCATCGAACAAAGACGGTCGCCGCATCGCTTACAGATACGCTCCTGTGGCCGTCTGGAACGTTCTTCCGTCTGGTTTTAGGAAGCCACTGCAGCAATGCACTTTTAAATCTAGATTGAAAACTCATTAATTTAGAACTGCTTTTTGTATTTAGTTTGTTGTACTTCTCCCGCACCTCTGATTATTACGGTTGGCTACACACGTTCGCAAAAGAAGATCAACAGATATACATACATGCACCATGCGATTGTTGGTCGCTTGACATTCATGAGTTATCTCCAGGTGTTTCTGTCTTTCTTCCTACATGCCAAAAGCCCCTTAACTGCATTGAGCAAACTTCTCAAAGTAGACTCTGCTTAAAAATAGTGAGACTCGGTGTGGCTTTCCTCCGTAAACAACGGTTATTATATTCTTTACGGCAAATGCTAGTTCAGAAGCTGCTGGTTTGTGGTCTGTTCCAGCCACCGTTTACATCAATAGTGAGTAAGATCTGGATCAGTCCTGGTGAAGTATGATCAAACAACCGACAGAAGCGACATGGTGTGTTGAGGCCTTCATCAAGTCATGGACATCTGTGACAAAGCGCTTCATAGCTCATCGGGTTGTTGTTTAAGATATGATCATTAATTATTCCAGTATTCGCTTCTATTTGATCATATTATTTGTTGAAAGGCTGGATATTTTTTTGCAAGATTTATTTTTTACATGCCATTGGTGCACGTTTGACATTTAAGCCCCAGGCGTAATTAATTATTGTCAAAACAAGTGGCATTAAATAACAACGGCGTGAATCTCAACCTCCGAGAACAGGGACGCTTACAAAGCATCGTGGTAACGTATTTCAGTTTAATTGGTGTGGATGCATTACAAGTGTGCTAAATCGCAGCGTGACGTGCGCAGTGAAGAACGGCAGGATGAAGGCGAGTAATTGGTTGTGATTCATTGTACGGTCTGCTTAGCAGATGTGCCGTGTCCATCGCAGCTTCTGCAAGCGACTGGCTCGGGCAAAAAAAAAAACGACCCGCGTTTGTGGGGACAAAAACACGTGGCACTGGAGTGAAAAAGAGCCCCGCATCTCATTCAGTCCGGTAACACATTGTCCTGCGGAGGGAGCTGGTAGGAACGTTGGGTTGCTCGGTCAATGGCCTGCAGGGTCAACGGCGGCGTGGTGTATTCCGCAAATATGCCCGACTGTGAGGGCGGGCACAAGCCGGCGTGAGTAGGTGAAACGTTGAGTTTTATAAGGGCACCACGGGGTGACCAGCCCCTCCCCACCCAGCCCCACCCCTCCCACCCCCACCCAGCCCCACCCTCCCCAACCAGCCCCTCCCCACCTTTCCCACCCAGCCCCTCCCCACCCTCCCCTCTCCACTCAGCCCCACCCTCCCCACCCAGCCCCTCCCCACCATCCCCACCCAGCCCCTCCCCACCTTCCCCACCCAGCCCCTCCCCACCCTCCCCTCCCCACTCAGCCCCACCCTCCCCACCCAGCCCCTCCCCACCATCCCCACCCAGCCCCTCCCCACCTTCCCCACCCAGCCCCTCCCCACCCTCCCCTCCCCACTCAGCCCCACCCTCCCCACCCAGCCCCTCCCCACCATCCCCACCCAGCCCCTCCCCACCTTCCCCACCCAGCCCCTCCCCACCCTCCCCTCCCAACCCGGCCCCACTCTCCCCACCCAGCCCCTCCCCACCCTCCCCTCCCCACTCAGCCCCACCCTCCCCACCCAGCCCCTCCCCACCATCCCCACCCAGCCCCTCCCCACCTTCCCCACCCAGCCCCTCCCCACCCTCCCCTCCCAACCCGGCCCCACTCTCCCCACCCAGCCCCTCCCCAACCTCCCCTCCCCACCCAGCCTCTCCCTGCACGACGGACACAATAATCCCCTGTGGGCTGGTGTAACCAGGAGGTTCCTACCAGTATAATGGTATTCTGATTCGGAATTATTACGAGACAAACGTTGAGTCCGTGTGATTCTGAAATTCAGCTGCGGTGTCATGAATGACCGTCCCCTGCGATGTGACGAATTGTCACCGTTCGTGGGGGCCGACGTTTGATTCTAGAATCGGTTGTTTTTATTTGGACACGTTTTTTTATTTACTGTCTCATTTGCATCGCTTTCTTTTGTTTGTTCACGTGTACAGTCTCGTTCGCTCCATTAGCCTAAATGAAACGTACACAAAGTACGTAAATAATAAATGATGAATCGACTTCCGTTTTGTGTATCCACATAAAAGTGACTAAAAGAACGTTCTCTATCCGCTTCTCTGTACGAATGTAGGTTGAGCTTCTTTCGAACGGTACGTAGCCAACCGTTCTCATCGGAGGTGCATATTGACCGGCTAGATTTGTTCAAACAAACCATCTCTAGATCATACTCTTTGGTTTTTTCGGTAAAGTCACGTAGGTAAAAAATTTAAATAAATTAAATCACGACGTTTCGGAAGCAACACAAGCCTCCGTCATCAGGTGTAACCGCTCCAGTGAAATTGCTGTAGCAGTTACACCTGATGACTGAGGCTTGTGTTGCTTCCTGAACGTCGTGAGTTAATAAAAAAAATTACCTACGTGACTTTACCGAAAAAACCAAAGAGTATGAATCCTTGCAGTCACGAAAACTTCAAATCTAGAATCATCTCCAGACCAGTTTTGACAATCTGGGTCTCATCAGCAGACTTTGTAAACATCACTGTAATTAAAGGAGACCAAGAGACCAATGACAAAACAATGTCTCGAAACTGTATTTACGTCACTTCCCTGAATGTTTCTCCATAGCACAAACTGCCTATAATAAACCTAATAGCAACTGTTGTCACCACAATTCAATGGGATGCTGTCCATTGCGTAATGGTTAGTCCCCTCGAAATATTTCCCTGCCCAGTTGCAACAACGGGGCAAGTTTCTTAAATCCCACCTCCCTCACCTCTGTCCAGCCAGCAGTATAAATGGGTTCACCACAGGTAGTCCATTGGCATGTCACGTGTGGTGGGGTAAAGTGTGGGTCCCCTACCTCTTCCAAGTCGCTTTGTGTGGACCCTACACAAACCGACTGCCGGGGCTGTCGTAAGCCACCTGGAGTTGGAGGCCTTTCTGCCAGCAGTGTTGTGAGCAATCAATTGCAGGGCTGCACCTACACCTTTCTATGCTCACAGTTTGGTTATGTATGAGCATAATAATACATTTTAATTGATGGTTTGTTACATTCCTCCTCATCATTATAATAGCAGTGTCTCTATAGGCACAATGAAATGTATAGACATGCATATTATCAAAGATACGTACATACATACACCTGCCAGGTGATGTAGCAGTTTCCCTCGCTTTGCACCAGTTCGGTTTGTGCGATTTCGCCAAATCTATGCGGCGAACCTATTTTCTACCCAAAATTCGCGATCACATGCGGTTTGATTTCGCTCGTATGCGGCTGGATGTGTGACACCGCTGTGTGTGCACTGTACGCCCTACACTGCAGGCGGTTTTCTTGTTCCCTTTCGCTTTGTGCGCCCATTCTTTCGGAATCTATCTACCGCGTAAAGTAAGGGATACCTGCATTACGATCTCGAAGTGTTTTGGAACCCCTGTTATATTTCTAACTAGACCCTTATCCGTCGTATATGTTCACAAAAGCACCAGCGTTTTGTAACGAATATTCTCCACGTACAAATGCGTGCCTTTCCATTCATCTGGAGTATCCTGGTTTCCTTCCAATGTGCGTGACGCTCATTGAGGCAAGAGCCAAACATTTCAATTGTTAAGAAGAGTCTTGAGAATTTTCAAGGCTTCCATTGTTGAATTCATGACTTTTGATGAGAAAAAATCACAATATAAACATTATATATTCAGAATCCGTTTCCATATATTTCGACATCAGATTTTCAGTTCTAATTTGGGGATTTTAGATTTGAATGGATTGCATTTTAATGACCGTTATTGGATGTGCACTGAATTTAGTTGTTTACATACATTTTTATAATTGATAACTTATTTTAAATGAAGTACCATCCATAAAACAACGATTTTAATGCAGACATTTTTATATTTTAACGTGAACAAACGTGGCATCAGATTGTCATTATTGCATCACGTGGCGACGTCACTTTAATCACAAAAACATGGACGTGATACACTAAGTTACGTCCTGTCCTGTGATGAAATATTTCTAAACGATTCGGCCCGATGTTCGTTTTTTTCATGTAAAAAAAAAAAACCGACAACACGTTCCCCACACCTACGTACATACACACAAACGGTTCGGCAGAAAAGACATTTGCGAAGGCCCAATTGTGGATCTGAATCTGAGCGAGATGTGAAGACGAGAGGAAAAAAAAACGTTCTCCACCTCTCGAACACGACAGGAGCTAATTCCTACAATTAGTTTTTGGGGGCTGTAGGGTCCACACAAACTCCTGTTATCCGCCACCCTATGCTTCCTACTATCCACCACATTGTTTTTTCCCACGGGGAAGTGGCGTAAATTCGCAGATTATCGCACAAATAACAGGGTTCATGGTGTTGCACCCCCACATCACCGCGTTGCAGAAGACCTTGCCTTGTCATAGATTATTTTAAACCATGAGCTGCGCCGTGCAATATATACAGTATGCAATAAATAATACTCGAACAGTACAGTACTAGCAAAGGATAATTGGGCCAAAGCTGCCATCAGCTCTGTCTCTTGAGGAACCACCCCCTCTCCCATTGTCACGGGGCAGACAGCTGTAAATGTGTTGTGCCAGCTCTGT